GGAAGGAAGGAAGGAAGGAAGGAAGGAAGGAAGGAAGGAAGGAAGGAGATAGAGAAAAGTGGAAGGGAGGAAGGGAAGGAGGCAGGGAGGAAGGAAGGAAGGGAGACAGAAAGCGGAAGGAAGGGAGGGAGGGAGGGAGGGAGGGAGGGAAGGAGAGAGGGAGGGAAGAAGAAAGATAGAAAGAGGAAAGCTGGAAAGGAAGAAGGGAAGAAGGTAGGAGGGAGGGAAGGAAGGAAGCAAGGAAACAAGGAAGGAAAATTCTATGACCAAACACTGATTTTCTCTGCAGTTCATGATATACAAAAGGAGTTGGTGGTTACCTTTTTCATAGAAAATGCTCATGTAGGCATGTTTCTCCCTCCCTCCACACACACACACACAGAGCTTTTATCTCTTTGGTGCCCTGTCCAGGAAGTTCTGCATTATACAACAGCGGTCAGTCGGTCGATTCAGGGCCAAGGCTCCTGTTTTCTCAGACCTTGGCCAATTCTTTTGAAAGTTCCCGTCTTGTGGCCTTGGCCAGAGCTAAGCTGGACAAGCATTCAAGAAATCACCCCGGGGAAGCAAAAGTCTCCATACCCAGGAGGGAGCCTCTAGCCATGGTTGCTCCACACTCTGTAAATAATAAAGATGTGGTCAAATAAAAGGCTGACGTCCTCTGGGCACTGAAGGGGGTGGGGTGTGTGGGTGGGGAGGAAGGGAATGAATAAAAGATGAAACATTAAAAGAATGCGAGAGAAACAAGTATTTATTTATTGATGGATTTGCTTTCTGTTCAGCCTTTCTTCCAAAGGAGCCTATACAGAGGTTATATTCAGCCGGTTCTGACCAGTTCTGGAGAACCAGTAGTGAAAATTTTGAGTAGTTGGGAGAACCAGCAAATCCCACCCTCTGACTGGCCCCACCAACCCCATCTCTTCTCTGCCTCCCGAGTCTCAGCTGATCGGCTGGGTCTTCTTTGGTTGTCCTGCCCAGGAGAACAGAGCTGAAAAGCAGGTTACTGTGGTGGGGAGAGAATGGGGATTTTGCAGTAACCTTCCCCTGCCACGCCCACCAAGCCACGCCCACAGAACCAGTCCTAAAAAATTTGAATCCCACCACTGATCCTATAGAAGGAATTCCCTGATCCAATTCGAAATGTCCAAAAGGTGTGAGGTTGATGGACGGAAGAGCTAAGAATTGGCCCCATGTCTTCCAATGTCTTTTAACCAATATGGAAAGATTTGGACTCTTAAGACTTCCTGGCCTTCCTTCAACATCTGTCAGCCCTTTAAGGTAGCCCAAACCAGAAGCCCAAACCCAGAGTACTAACGCTACCTTTGTTGTAAGCAATTTCAATAACACAATCTTGCAAGTCTGAAAAGGTTGCCCCATTCCTTGGCCCAAAGGTGCTTTCTCCAAAAGGCTTCTAGGACAGACACCTTTCCAAAAAAAAAAGTCATAGGAAATACTCTGCTAGCGGAGAAGGAAGTCCTAAGATCCAACCCACGCACGCAAAGCTATCATCTCTTGTCTGTTTGGGGGGTTCAACCTTGTTTATTCCAAGTCTTCCTGGCTAAGGTAAAGGTAACAGTTCCCCTTGTGCATCCATGCTAGTAATTTCCAGCTCTAGGGGACGGTGCTCATCTCCGTTACAAAGCCAAAGAGCCAGCGCTGTCCGAAGACGTCTCCGTGGTCATGTGTCCGGCAGGACTAAATGCTGCCGAAGGCACATGGAACGCTGTGACCTTCCCACCAAAGGGATCCCTATTTTTCTACTTGCATTTTTACCTGCTTTCAAACTGCTAGGTTGGTAGAAGCTCCTGGGACAAGGAACAGGAGCTCACTCCGTTACGCGGCGCTAGGGATTCGAACTTCCAAACTGCGGACCTTTTTGATCGACAAGCTCAGCGTCTTAGCCGCTGAGCCACAATGTCCCTAGTCCTGTTCAATATCCCTGCTTCAAAGCTTCATGAGACAATCTTACTTTGGTCCTTCTGTCTTCTCTATCCTCACCCATAACAAAGTCCTTGTCGGTTCCCTTAAATTATTTATTTTTTTCTTTAGATCCAGAATTGCTCCGGAGAACAGTTGTGCAATTCTACCCTCCTCGAAAGTTGTGCATTTATATCCTTCCTTTTGGCACAATCAATTTGTACTCATTCTCCTAAGAAGCCAAGCATAAACCCATATAACAGCTGAATGCATATTCTCTATTTACTCTTGCCTCCGGCTTTATTTTATTTTTATTTTTTTTCTTCCTCTCTCTTTTCTCCTTCCCGGGGTCATGTCTGAAATGGGGAAGCATCCAAAGAGTTTTCTTTTAGCACGCCTCTCCAAAGCATGAACGAAAACGACGGTGGGAAGGAATATTTGAAACTGCATGGAGGAGGTAAAAAATAACCACCTTTTTGCAAAATTGACGTAGCACTGGAGGCGTTTGCAAAACTGATCAAGCAGATTGAGACATTTGGGAAATAGATGCAGGAGATCAGTGCCTTTATGAGACAGATCAAACCTGGTTTCTTCAGATCTTTTTGTTGATATATCTCTAAACACACCAGCCTGCGTCGTTATTTCATACCTTATTCCCACAGAGTCTATTAGAGATGCACTCAATTTTTATTTCAACCCCAAACTGAGAATTGGATACCTTCAAAACGTTAATCTGTGTTTGTAGCAGCCATTGCTTGGATTTTTTTTTTCTTTCCTTGCAAAATAAGCTTTTTAAAAAAAGACAATAATAAACCTAATATTTAGACAAACTCTTGATCTATTAGGTTACATAAAATGGCCTACTGTAATGTTATACCTTTTATCATCTTTGTTAGGCCAAAGAATTTAACACGGCGGTGTCATATAATGTAAATAATGCGATGCGACATAAATCTTTATGGCTCTCCATTAAAATGGCAGCTGAACATCCCTGAGTATTAAAGGAGATGGCCGTTTTTAATTTCCTGGCTTTTTAATAAAAAAAAATGATAAGGTATTTTGAGTATCTCTTCCTTACCTTACCCTGAAAAAAACCAATAACAGAATTTGCGAGGAATGACACAGTTATAAGAAAGAAAGAAAAAAACAAACCCTGGGCCATTTTGGTGCCCTCCTAAAATACATACAAGATGCTCCACTTTACATTATATTTCTAATCTGTAAAGACGTTATATTTATTTCTAACCTACCTTTTTGGTTCCAAAAGAAAAGAAACTGAATCGACTTCGTTTGTTGAGTTTTCTGTGGTCTGATTTCTTCTGAAGTCACCGGGTTCCAAAAAGAAAAGGAAAAAAGAAAAAAAAGGAAAATAGGACAGAATTCTCAGTGACATGCATAGATAAAAGGGAGATTTCATGCTACATTAACTGGAATTCACAAATGGAAGAACATAGGAGAAAATAGGTTCATATCTGCAAAATAGGTAAGGAGACTTGGAGAGCTGGCCATGGGCTGAAATACAGATAACTCAAGGTTTTGCAAACCAAGAGTTTGTGTGCATTCAAGAGCGCTAGGATTTTTTGAGATGATAAAGAAACAGAAATTGAACCAATGGAACCAACAACCTTATATTTGAAGGTGGGCTCCAACATTAGAAAAAAATAACTTGACTGATGTCTGGGCCCCAAACAGAACCATCTGTGAAGTCTCTTTGTGTTTGCGTGTCTGCGTGTATACAAAAAGCCAAGAAGCAGCCGTACAATCCACGGCTACCATCTTGTTTGGTGAGCAGGACTGATTTCGTAGCTTCCATATTTCTTCTCCTCCCTTGGGGTTCATTCTAGCCGAGTGTAACATCTTCCTTGAAAACATTGTGCTTGTGTGCATCCAAGAGGGTGTTTTACAAAAACTAATAGGAAAAAGACTAATAGGGAATTTAATCGTGGGTTCTTCTCTTCTGTTACTGGGGTCCCAGCAAAAATCAACCCCTGTTAATAGGGTACGCTTTGTCTGACAAAGAGAAGGACTAAAGGGTTGACATGATAGCAGTCTTCCAATATTTGAGGGGCTGCCACAAAGAAGAGCGGGACAACCTATTGTCCAAAGCATTGGAAGACAGGAGAAGCAATGGATGGAAACTAATCAAGGAGAGAAGCAACACTAGACCTAAGGAGACATTTCCTAATGGGGAGGAAAATTAATCAGTGGAACGCCTTCAGAGGTTGTGGGTGTTTCATCACTGGAGGGTTTTTAAGAGGAGATTGGACAATCATTTATCTGAAATGGTATTGGGTTTCCTGCTTCACTAGAAGTTCTCCAAGGTTCGTTCCAATTCTGTTATTCTGTTATTTTCCACTGCCATTAGTCATAATGCAACTTCTCTTTTGATAAAATATGACACAACGTAATTCTAGATGTCCCATTCTTCTGGCATTCACCTGCACCCGGAGAAACAGGTCAACTCACCTCCAAGTTAGATGTCTCTTCATCAGTTTCATCAGCCATTTCTTCAGGCAATTCTGGATTCCTTGGTCTGTTATTTCAGAATACTTTCTTACAGTACTACTTTTTGGGTGTGAAAGTGTGACCCAGCTGCAGCGTTTATCATCACGGTTGCTCCCAGAACTTTAAAAGAGAAGAGGGCTTGCCCCATTCTAGCTTCTAGGGAGCTTCTCCATCATTAGCTGGAGGTTTGGCCAAGGAACGTGTCTACTGAACCACGGTGGAGTTGAACGGAAGCTGGTTGGTTCCATCACAACTGACTGCTTGTGATGTCATCAGTGTCACCCTTCCGAGGCCAACATGATCTCACCTTGACAACTACCAAGGCATTCTGGGTATATTTTTAAAGATTTTTTTTATAGGGTTGCCTGGCAAAATGGGCAACAATGAACAGACGTGGGTGTTCCGTGCACCTTCTCAAGAACTTCCTGTTTGATACTTGATGGAGCACGCTACCCAGTCTCCAAAGCTTAAAAGACTCTTGGTTTGAAGTGTAGAGAATGGACTGAGGAAGGGTCGGGTAGGGCTGTAGAGAATTGTGGGTCAGCAGTGCCTAGAAGGCTGCAGGTGTGAACTTTGATTCCATCTACTATACGTCTGGCCAAAGAGAGAGATAAGCCAGGGCCATACAGTGGGGAGCTTATTACAATTTTTCATTTTAATTAAAAGAAAGGGCTAGGATGACATGATAGGATTTGAGGGGGTCAACTTATCTTCCAAAGCACCAGAAGACAAGAAACAATGGATGGAAACTAGTCAAAGAGAGAAGCAACCTAGAACTTCCCAACAGAATAATTAACCAGTGGAATGCCTTGCCTTCAAAAGTTTTGGGTGCTCCATCACTGGAGGTTTTTAAGAAAAGATTGGATATCGACTTGTCCAGAATGATATAGGATCTGCTGCCTGAGCAGGCAGTTGAACTAGAAGACCTGTAAGGTTCCTTCCAAGGCTGTTGTTCTGTTATAATCAAAAGGATATCGAATTCAGGACAGTCACCATGCCGATTGCATGTGTGTTTCGTCATTTCTGTCTTTTGTCACATTCAGAATTACAATGAAGAAAGAGATTGTGTAATCAAATTGCTCCGGAAGACACGGCATAACACTTGCACAATTGCACCGGTTGTGAATCTTCTGATTTAACTCTTTTTCAATTGATCCCATTAATTCCAGGACTTTGGGGTGATCTGTTTCTCCAACTTGATCACATAATATCAGAACGTGTTTCACAGAGCCAGGAATCGCCTCTTCTTGTTAGATCTCCTTCGACAAGATGCAAACCTCCCCCCCGCCCCAGCCCCATGTGTGATTTATGATCAGTTGTTGCAACACACCAGCGTTATTCTTCTCTGGAGACGTCATAAAATAATATGAAGATGAAGTGATTGCAGCGTAAGCTTTCTTAACTCAACGGTTCCCTGGGCAGTAGTAAAACCAGATGAAAAGTCCTTGTGTGAACTAAATATAGCCATAGCAAACATAAACAAAACAGAAGCGACCAAGGAAAAGGAACACAAGTCTAGTTTCTGACAAAGAGCACAAAATTATGCTAGACCAGTTGTAGGAAGTCAACATACATCTCTTGATTTTCTTCGTTCTTCCAATCTTTTATTTTTCTTGCTAAAAATCTTTTCAAAATGGGAAACATGTAGATATGGTAACGCAAGTTCCAAGTTTCTGGCTTAAAATAATTTTTAAAACACGGAACCCCCTTCAAATTTCTCTGCTCACCCCATAATTTAGTGGGAAAGTCCTGAAAATGCTCATCTTGCCCTTTGAAAGATACAGTCCCAACTATCTAATTTTCCACCAGTCCTTGAACCTCCCCCCAAAAAACTACATGCAATCCTTGGTTACTAAAACTCCCATAAAGGAGAATATTTGTAACTTAATATTGAAAGGAAGGGTCCTTGGTGCTCGCTAAGCACAGTTGGATGTGTAATTACCCAAACTAAGATGTGTCATTACCCAAACTAAGTAACATCAGTACTAGAAGGGAATTGTTTTTTTCCCCTCTGTTTATATATAAGTGGCTTGGAAACCCAACTCCTTGCTAGCACTGATGATGTTACCTAGTTGGGTAAGGCAACACCTGCAACAAAACAACCAAGTACTAAAACTTTTGCTGCTCCCATTTAGGTCTTCGTCATAAAAAAGGCACACAGTGGCTCAGTGGCTAAAACGCTGAGCTCGTCGATCAGAAAGGTCGGCAGTTCATCGGTTCGAATCCCTAGCACCATGTGATGGAGTGAGCTCCCATTCCTTGCCCCAGCTTCTGCCAACCTAGCAGTTCAAAAGCATGTAAAAAATGCAAGTAGAAAAATAAGGAACCATTTTGGTGGGAAGGTAACAGTGTTCCGTGCGCCTTCGGCATTTAGTCATGCCGGCCACATGACCATGGAAACGTCTTTGGACAGCGCTGGCTCTTTGGCTTTGTAACGGAGATGAGCACCACCCCCTGGAGCTGGAAACAACTAGCACGTAGGTGCGAGGGGAACCTTTACTTTTACATTCAAAAAAAGTGGAAAAACAGTGGGGCCTTGAGATGGATGGACCTTTGTCTTGGCAAGGCCTCCAACATTCCTTTTAAGTCTCTAAGTCAAGGCAAACCACCTCATAGAAAAGCAACGGATGGCGGAAAAAAACAATTTTAGTTTCTGATTTTTAGCAGGTTGCTATGTTAATTTGTCTCCCGTTAGGCTTACAAATGATTTGTAAACTCTTCCGTTGCTCGTTTTGGCTGATTATTGTCAAGAGTGTAACAAGGAATATTAGCAACCGAGTTTTCTGCCATATTTTCCTTTCTCCCTCTCTCTCTCTCTCTCTCTCTCACACACACACACAGCAAGCTTGCTTTGTTTACTTTACAATTCGGTTCGCTTTTGCAAAACCTAACGGTTGCATGGTGAGGTATGTGGGTGGGTGAGTTAGGCAGCCCCCCCCCCTGTTCTTTTGCACTCTCTAGGGTAACCCCAGCGCTCCAAACAATCCAATTTAAAGCTGTGAAATCTTATTTGAAGGTCTATTAATGCCCAGCTGGAATGGTGCAGGCTCCATCCTGGCTCATCCACTGACTTGAAACCTCGGAAGCAATTTTATCGAGGAACATTGCAAGAAAGGAGGTGGAAAACTCGGAAAGCAATGAACTTTAGGAGGGAATTTTAAAAGTGGGGAGTCATTTATTCCCCCCACCCCAGCAATTCCAATCTCCTTTCTCCAGAGAGGTGGGATAAATCCTTGAATTACTCAAAGCATTTTGCCAAGGATCAGGTCCTTAACATATGACATCGGGGCGTCTTGGGTGGTTTATTTTTTGGGGTGTTTTTTTTTTTTTTTTTTGCAGAAAGCAATTAGCAGGCTGAGGTGTTTGTTCCCTTGCCAACATCTGACCTAAGGAAAAGAAAATTTTAATCAAGGAGGCTCAGTAAAAGCGTGGGACCTAGCTGGATGTCAGCTCCGGAAACAAAACAGATGATACGGCAATTATCAACACTGCATAATTGGATGTAGCATCGATGAATAGCTGGGGGGCACCGAGGAGAGATAATTTAAGGCAAATTAGTTACTCCTGTTGACTTTCTGACTAGCCATCAAAATAGCGGAAGACTGCAAAATTCAGTGGTGGGATTCAAAAATTTTTACTGCCAGTTCTGTGGGCATGGCTTGGTGGGCATGACAAGGGAAGGATACTGCAAAATCCCCATTCCGTCTCCACCCCACTAACCTGCTTTCCAGCTCCGTTCTCCTGTGCAGGGCAACAAAAGAAGACCCAGCCAATCAGCTGGGACTCAGTGGGAGGCGGAGAAGAGAAGGAGGCG